CAGGAGCAGCGCCTCTTTATGCTTGGCTTGTAGAAAGCTCCTCCTCTTCCTTGCTCCATATGTTTTGGCCTGAATACAGTAGTTTTTTGTTTTATCAGGAAAGATCTTGGCACAGTCTGCCCTGCCCCTGATGCTTCCTGATAAATTCTTATTTGTTTTCCTCTGCCCTGTTTCCCAGCCCTGTTAAATTCCAGCTTGACACACATCATCCAGGTATTTAGGGCAAATTTGGTAAAGGCCTTAGCTGTCTAGGATAGAAACGAGAATTGAGATGCCTGCATCTAAACCCATTGCCTATGTGCTTTTTTCAGTTCTCTTTCTAGGTTTATTTTCTAAAAATACTTTGCTGTGCTTTGAGAAACACTCTTTTCCAATCCTTTCCATGCTTCCCTCAAAAACAAGGATTCTATTATTATTATTATTATTGTATTATTACTGTTTGGAAATAAAATTGCTAAGTGAAAGATTCTCTACTTCCTAAGAAGCTTCTTCAGCATGACAAAATGATTATATTTTTACAAAGAGTCATGAGGCTCCTCACAAGGTTCAAAGATGACAAAATGCCCACTGCCTCCCAGCAAATCTGGAAGGAAACCACCTTGGGCTGTGCTGTGCCTTGCAGTTTGTGGATGCAGAATGCCTGCACAGAGTCACTGCAGAAAACAGTAAGGATAAGAAATCCAAGACTTCCAGGAGCATTTCCCAGCCCCTGGCCACAGAAAGAGTTAAATAAGTGAGTGAAATCCACTCCCACTCTCTGCCATGTGCAAACTGTAGGCACTTGACTGCATCTGAATCTTTTTCACATGCTTGTGAAAAAGTCAATAAAAATAATAATGAGAGACCATAAGTAGAGACCATAAGTCAACAATAATATTCAGAGACCATAAGTAAGAAAGGGGAAAAAAAGTAATTTGATTTGCCCAATATGAGATGTTCTCTGTTCTGATAGAGTATTTGACTTGTAAAATAGGAATAATATAGTAGGAATTATCTCTTCCTGCTAGAAACAATATCAAGGAATATAGAAAATTCCTGAAGCAAAATCTGTCCCTCATCTTTTCAACTTCTCTAATGAAAACAAAATTTATCTGGGCTGCTAAAAATCAAAGTCAACACTGTTTAGTTTCTAGCTCATTGGTATCATATAAAAGCTTTTTATCACTAGGAGCTTCCTGAGCACTTAAAACTGTTCATTTATAGAGAACAGAATGTTCTTTCAAGTTCAGGTTCATTTAATGGAGCTAGGAGTTTTGTTGATAAAACCTTTTTTTTTTTGCTTCTTTTTAAAACATTATGGTAACACTCCTGGAAAACACAAACCAGAAATATTGATAATATAATACTAGTAAATAGTATGAAAAAATAAAAATAGTCTTCTTCCATACTTTCTGATATTTTCATTAGAAAAACTGATAATATAAATTAATTAATTAAAAATATATAACAATATATAATGATATAATATATAATAATATATAAAAATAAGTCATATCAAAAAGTACAGTATTTAGATTGCAATATACAAAAATAAACCCAATTTCTAGTGCTCACTTGCAACAGGCAATCAGGAGTCAGTCTTTATTTCTATTAAATGCAATTTCCTTGTGGTCAATTCACAACTTGGTTTCTTTGATGAAACCATTTTATTTGCTTCAGTGTTTATCTAAAACATTATGCAAACATTCTTGGACGACACAAACCAAAAATATTGATAGTATAATACTATTAAAATAGTAGGAAAAAATAAACATTGTCTTCTTTAATACTTTCTAATACTTTCATTAGAAAAATAGATAATATAATGAATTAACAATATATAATATACAATATATAATGATATAAGAATATATACTAATGTATAAAAATAAGTCATATCAAAAACTACAGTATTTAGATTGCAATTTGCAAAAATAAATCCAGTTTCTAGCGCTGACTTGCAACAGGCAATTAGGAGTCAGTCTCTATTTCCATTAAATGCAATTTTCATGTGGTCAATTCATAACTTTTTCTTGTAAAATAAGGCAGCTCTAAGAGTTTGGAAGCCTCAACAAATTATGTGATTCTGATTTCTATGCAGTTAAAGAGAATTACAACTTTAATTTTTAAATTTTCTTAAGATTTAGATCATTATCATTAAAAAGTTATAAGGTGATGAAATATTATAACTTTAAAATACTTTAAAATCTGTCTGCATTTATTTAGTTCTGTGTTATGGCTTCTCTTACATTCCTGAATGTAGAGTGCTGGCTTCTATCACCTGAATAGAAAAACAAACTTTTTCCTCTGGAAAAGAGGAAGATGGATGGATGGATGGATGGATGGATGAGATATATACATGAAAGGCCTTGAAAGTATGCAGAAGACACCAAGTTCACATGTTGGGGTTTCACAAAATTGTTCCTGTAGTTTTGAAGGCAGGCTGTGACTTGCAGGCTGTGGGAATGTAAAGAATTCATAGTAAAGCAAAGAAATAGCAAATGTTCAATTTGTTATTCCTGCTTTGACAGTACTGTTTCCCCTGTCATGATGGCTATAAAACTGGCTCTTTCCTAGTTAAAAAAGAAAGATTTTATTTTTCCAGTATAGCCTTAAAATGAACTACATGTCGTGTAGATAGTCCCCTACACAACCTGCATTTTTGGAGCTTTTTAGGAGGAAGGAATTGGACGGTCCTTTCAGGTCCTCATGTGTAAGGGTGCAATCCTGTTAAAGCTGTGCCTGTGGGTGACTTCCTCCTCCTCCTTAGGATCAAAGACCAGCACGTGCTGGTCGATGACACGGACCACCCTGCTGAAGCTGCCCTGCTTTTCCTTCTGGCTCTCCGGGCGCACTCGCACCACCACTTTGACATGGCTGCACACATCTTCTTCCTTGGCAGGAGTCATCCCTGCTGCCCCCCAGCTCCGCTCCCAGCGCTCTTTCAGGCCCAGCAGCCGAATCCTTTCTGCAGCAGACAAGAGAGGTTTTATTTGCAATAGGAGCCTTTCACTCCTCCCAGCAGTTCCCACGTTTGCTCAGGCCCCTGTGCTGGGCCCAAGGGGCCGCCCCAAGGAGACTTTGGGAGCTCTGCAATGGCCCCGAAAGGTGCCTGAACTCAGCGCAGCTTCCAGAAAGGAACCACCCAGCACTGCCCCAGGGAATTCTCGAGTTTATTTCAGAATGTAAACTACTAACTGGCCTACAGGCTTTCCTTCGCACAGACCAAGCTTTCAGAGGAGACACCGCATTTCTGCGGACCAAGGCGAGCAGTCTTTTTGTCCTTCAGCACAAAGAGGAGCTGCCCGTGCCGCCCTCCCCAGACTGGGCCAGGCACGTCGCGCGTACATTTAAAGAGAGTTACAGCGGGATTTGCGTTACCGTGCCCCGCAGGGGATGCAGTAACGGGCCCCAAACGGAATTCCCTTCAAACAGCCCATTGCTGCTGTTGGCAGCGCGCTGCCGGCTCAGCCCTGGCAGGGACACGGGCAGGGCTGTCAGCGCCGCCGCTGCCGCTCCAGGGCCGGCTCGCCTCCCTCGGCCGAACCCCTCCCGGACCCGCCCGGCTGTCTCAGCCCCTCTCGGGTGCCAGCCCCCGGCCGTGCCCTCACAGTCCCGCTCTCTCCCCCACACTCGTCTCGGTCCCTATCCCGCACCAACCGCCGGCCGCGCAATTCAAACACGGGCAGGCCGCGCTCCTCGCCTCCTCATTGGCTGTGCGCCGTGACGTCAGCAGAGCGCCGGCGGTGAGTGCGTGGGGCCGGGCGCGCAGCGGCGTGCGCGGGGTCTGAGGGGCGCGGGCGGCGGCGGAGCCTGCGGGGAGGGCAGGGGAGCGCTGAGGGAAGGGAGGCACAAAGGTGAAGGGGAACACGGAGGGAATGAGGGCGGCCGTGAGGGAAGGGCGGCGCTCCCGGGGCTGCTGGGGAAGGGGCCGCCTGTGGCTCCGCGTGTCCGGCTCCAGACCCCCGGGCTCTCCTCGCGGCGCTGCTCCGGCCGCCTCCGATCCAAAGCGCTTCGGGCTGGGGTTTCTGTCCCCGCTGCCTTTGGTTCTGCTCCAGCGCCGGTGCCGGCCCGAGGTGGCGGCCTGCAGCCGTGCCCCTCAGGCTGCCCCTCCGGGCGTGCGGTGTGTGAAATGAAATAAAACACGAACTGTGCCCTCGCCGTGAGGAGGAGATGCCCGGGGTGCAGGGGTGGGGGCTCTCTGTAGCAGCGTCCCTCGCGTTCCCCCAGGGCAGGGCGGGGATGGGGGCACGGCCGGGGCTCAGCTGCTCCTCGCCCTCAGCAGAGCGGCCGGGACGGAAGGGGAAGGGACAGGAGGCACTCAGCGGTGCCATGGAGAGAATTCAGCAGGAGAGTCAGAAGCTGTGCAGACAAGCAGGGCAGAGCAAGGAAAGCCTTCCCGTGGGCTCAGCCATCTCCGGAGAGCAGGGCCCATCTCGGGTGATAATTAATGGTCACCGTGGTTGGGAACACTGGTGCCGCCACCCCGATCCTGCTCTGCCCCTTTCTGTCTGGAGCACGGTGTCCTTTGCTCTGGGGAATCCCTTCAGTCCCCTGGGTCGCTGCCCCAGCTGTGTCTCCTCCCTGCTGTGCCCAGCAGGAACCCAAAGCAGCCCCAGCTCAGCCCCTGGGGAGGGAATGGACTCCAGCCCAGCCACAGCCAGCAGAGCACACCGTGGTAATGCCCATGTTTTCTACACGTTTTCTGTAGGCACACCGGGGATTGTTGCAAAACACATCTGTGTGTCTGCTCAAAGTTAGCCATGTGCACTTTCAAATTTAAGATGGGGGAATTACTGCCCTGTTAAAGCCTAAATGATCAGCAGAGTAACTTTCTCAGCATATCCTTATGCAGGTAAAGTATTGGTAGCCTCGGGCAAGGTAAATTCAACAAAAGCACATAGTAAAATCTGATGGTGAAAAGAATCTGCTCACTGCTTGAACATGATTGATTTGTGGATAATCTAAGTTCTGGAAACATTTTGCTGATGTGACATAATTATAAAGCTGCCCAACTTGGAATGTGTATAGCTTTGCCTATAGCATTTCCTCCATGTTATTTAAACAAATATTTGTTTGAAAGTAATTCCCAACATCTACTGCTCTTCTAGGCTGATCAACTCCAAAATGGTACCTCAAAATCTGTGCCAGCTTTGCAAATGTTTGTTTCTGAGTAAGTTGAAACTGAACTCAGTAAATGTGGCTGGTTTGGCTAGAAGGATCCATTCTTCATCACAAAAGCTTTCTGACTCTGAGTCACAGGAACAAACTGTCCAGAAATGTGAATCTGAAGAGCTGCCTCAAAATACAGAGAACAGTGATTCTGGAAGATTGCACGTACCAGTGATGCTGGAGGAGGTTGTTAATTGTTTATCCCCTCAGCCTGGTCAGGTGAGTTAAATGATTAATTGACATCTCTGATCCATTAACAGTGCAGCAGAAAAATTCGTGGAGTATGGACTTTTGTTTAGAGGAATAAAGGGATGTTCTTAAACCATCAGCTGTATCTTTCAAAGGTTCTTAATTGTTTTGAAGTTCACATTAAAACTGTGTATTCAAACTAATAAAATTCTGGTGTCTGTATGCCTGAATCCCCAGGTAGGTGGTGTTTATTAAATCTGTCATATTTGACTCTTCTGTTGCTTTTGTGCTTGTCTTTCTGAGTTGCACTTGTGTGTTCTTAAGGTTATGTAAATGACTCAGAGGAGAGTTCTCATGTGTGGTTATCTCATCAGTTTTTGAAGAGCCCTCTTCCTCTTGGATAAGAGGTTGTAAGTTTTAAAAATTGTTTAGCCTCATTGGCATGGAGAACCTGGTTCAAGCCTTCTGGTTTGGGTATGGTACTGTGAGTGCTTTGCTTTTGGTGTCTGGGGTAGTAAATGGTTACACCTGAAAAAAATTGAAAAAAAAATTATACCCAGGGAAATGTTTTTGTCTGGGTGGTCTTAGTATTGATTTGAAAGGATTTTTTGAATAATGTAAATTCTTAAATAACCTTTACATTTCAGGTACTTTGATCTGTGATTTTAGTGCTTATCTTAGCTTCATAGAACCTTACTGGTTTAGGGTTATCACTGTTTACTAGAGGAACAAACTGTCCAGAAATGTGAAACTGAAGAGCTGCCTCAAGTTTACTGCCTTCACAGTTATCAGTTTTGCTACAAAGAGCGGAACAATAGGCACAGAAGTAGAAAGGTCCAAGTGTGATATTTTTATTTGGGAACAGCACGGTCCAACAGTGGCAAAGTGATACAGCAAGTTTGAGGTGGATTCAGTGATCAAAAATTTGGAGTCCAATCTTGTTATATTGCCCTGTGTATCAATTTTAAGTCTTTGAAGAAGCACTGAAAATGCAAATAGTGTTGATACACAATAGCATGCAAATTGCTGTAATTGCATGTGTTCTGCTGTTGAAGACCCCTAAATTAGAGAAATATGTAAGGAACTTGGAGTTCAGATTTCATTGTGATATCAGAACTGTGATGACATTTTCACACATTAAATGAACACATAAACTGTGATACACTGTGTGAAATATTTTTTCCAGTTGTGTAAATTTTTACTTTGATAAGAAGAGCCTGATGAAGTCAGTATCCATTAGACTCTCTTTGCTGATGTAGAAAATCTTACTTGGCAACAGAATTTGTAAAAGAAACTCTCCAAGGTTATGAACTGTGGAGAGTAACTATTACTGCCCGTCAAGACTTCTAATTTAAATATTTATGGTTGTAAAATAGCTTATTATGGGGTGGGATTTTTTCAGGTCTGTGTGTACAGGTTTTTCAGACTCCTAAACTGGTAGTGAACTACTTATGACTGCTATAAGAGAGCCCAAGTGTGTTTACCTCAAACACAAGCATTTGTAATGCTGCCAGCCTGTTCAGCAGGACTGCAACTGCAAACTGTTCAGCACTTCTGGTTTTCTTTTTCTGCATGTATTCACAGCACTGTCTGAAGCCTCAAAAAATAAGCAGTGTGCAAAAGGATGCAATGTGTCAGCTGAGTTTTGCTAGTGTCACTGAAAGTCTGAACACAGGTTGAGACAGTTCCTCACTAACCCTAGTGGTGGTAATCAGTTTGTGCTAACATGCATGTCAGCTGGGAGGGTCACAGAAATTTATATTTTTAAGATTATAGTCATGACAGGAAGTCTATGAACGCTTTGTTTTGTGGGCAGGAAAGGCAGTGCTCTGATCTGGAATTCAGTTTTTCTGCTTTACTCTCTCCTCACACATAAAGATTTCCTTTGCTCAGCTTTAACAGAGTTATATTCTTTGTTATAAAATAGCTGATTTGGGCCTCTCGTTCTTGTGTCTTAAGACAAGGAGGTACCAATATAAAAAAAATCTAATTAGAAAGATGATGTTCTCTCTATAGTTATGGTCACTGAATGGGATTTTCATTTCACTTCCAGAGGTTCTTTGGAAAGGAAATGTTACTTAAGTGTGAGTCACCACTGAGATAAAGATGTTAGTGCCCTCCCACTGAATATTCTTGTTGACTGTCTCCTTTGGGGAATCTGTGTGTCAGGAGCTGGAGCAATAATACTTCCATTTATCTTTGAATCCTCTTTTATTGCCTTGTTTCACCGAGTCCCTGTAGTAGTCCTGTCTTTGAAGCAAGGACTGCCCATTAGATTTCACCAATCCATCTCACTGCTCAATGAAAAGTCTGTTGCACTCAGTCCACACACAAGTAATTTCCTCTTTAGGTTTGCTGTATTGATTACACTACATTTCCATCTTCTCAGTCCATGGGTGTTGTTTGCAAGTACCTGACCAGTGGTTTTGCAGTAGTCTGGACAATTCTCTGTTCTCTTAAAGAACCAAACCTATTTTGAATCAATGTTTGGACATCCAGAATCATGTTTCCCCAGTTTTCAACCTACTTTTTCCTATTTTTTTCCTTTGCAATACTCATGTTTATTTTAACTAGAGATGTGGATCTTTTCCACATACTGTGGCTATAATGTTAAGTAAAATAACTTCAATAGTAATGAGTTGTAATATGAATGCTAGAGGATGAAACTCTGAAATTTTAACTGTTCTTAAGAGAATCTTAAAGATGTTTGAGTTGCAAAGCTCTAGGAAATGATATTGCTCCAGCACCCACAAATACTTCTATATGTAAACTTTAAACTCCAACTAGAAGAGAAGCAAATATCATACCCTATTCAGATTATATGGGGAAGCCTGTAACCTGATGACATCTATGGTTTTATGTGATTTTGTCCATGGCTGAGTATGATCTAGATATAATGGAGATACTACAAGCTCTGCTAGTATGATTTGCTTTATGATAGTTCTAGAAGCTGGGCGTTTTTAGTATCTGTAAATGAAATGGTAGGTGGTCAAACTTGAGGTGAGAAATAATGAATGAGACCTTTCCGTTTCCTCCAGTGTTTGAGTGGTTAAGCCATTAATAGTAGATGATTTTTTTACTTCATGATGTTAATTTGTATTTAAAAAAACAAGAAGGCAGATAATTTTCCACAAAGAGATCCCATCTGCCATCATCTTGAGTTAGCCAGGACTTACTAGGGTATTTCTCTTTTGATTCTCCATGATGTTACTCAGATTATTTTTGCTACTTGGCATTCATTGGTGGAGATATCCTGTTTGTCTTGGAAATCATGTGTTGGTCCCTGTGTTATTATTTTATTTTCTTGGAAATCATGTGTGTCTCCCTGTGTTATTATTTCTTTGTCTTGGAAATCATGTGTTGGTCCCTGTGTTGGTCCCTGTGTTACTATTTCTCTTTCTTGGAAATCATGTGTTGGTCCCCGTGTTGTTATTTTATTTTCTTGGAAATCATGGGTTGGTCCCTTTGTTATTATTTCTCTGTCTTGGAAATCATGTGTTGGTTTCCAGAAAGAGACAAGTATTTCCTGAGAACATGCAGCTTTGCCATGAGCTCTCCTTTCACTCTTTCAGGTACATACTGCTTTGTTTGTAGGATAGTTACTATTCTCATACATCCAAACATCAAATTATTCTCTTTCAGAAGGAGTCTGAGCATGGACTTGTAAAATAACAGGAACGAAGTGTAAGACACTGCTGCCAGCCAGACGTGGTTTTGTTGTGAGTGAGGTTCTGCTGGAGCTCTGGGGTTCAGGTTTGAAGGCAGCTTTGCACCTCCTGGAGGTTCTGTTGCTACTCTCGGGTTTTGATCTGGAGCATGGTTGTTTCCTTCCTTTTCTGCAGAGCTAATCAGGCAATGGAACACACCTGAAGGAAGCTGAGGGACACTGCTGCTGGCAGAAAGCAGAATCACTTCTGAAATTGTTCTCTTACCTTCTGTGTATTGTCCATACATCAGTATTCCCTCTCTGCCTTGTACCAAGTGGAAATGGAAGGCAGAACTAACCTTTCTCTGTGCAGCACCCTGCAGAGGGGACTTCTGTTCTGTGGCAAAGCTTTCCAAGTGTTGTGCTGTATAAATAGTTACATGGTGGTGCTGGTGACCAGGCTTCTCACAGCACCTCCCAAGCCATCTGCAAGTCATTTCTAACTGGAGTGAGCCGTTTATGCTAGAGGTGCTCAAAACTGAACTTTTCTGCTGGGTGCCCAAAGTAAAGAGGAATTGAAAAGGGATCTAGAAAAATTAATTCTGACTTCTCAAGTTGTATGAGTGCTTGCTAAAATGCAGCCAAAATATCAAGTTTGGAAGGGAATATTAGTTGCATCATGAGGTAAATGATTAAATACTTGTTTTGGAAAAGCACTACAGACACGTGGATGTAGTAAAAGTTTTTATTGTTTTAGCCTGTTTTTCACTGGACTTGTAAAATGAATAAGGTGACATAAAGCAGTCAAATTGCATAATGTTCTTTATTGTAGAAACCACTATTTTTTTATGGGAAGCATGCTGAAAATATCTTTCCTTATGCAAATTTTTTTGGCTAATTTTTCTCTGTCAGCAGGACAGTGAGCCTTGTAGTGATTGTTGTAAAAAAGGAAGTAAGAGAAACTTGTGAGTCAATAAATTAACATAGAGTAATTCTGAAAATACTCTTGGAATTCCAGAACACACTTTTTTCCTGTGGCACTTGGGTGTTACTGGGGCATATTGAGAGTTGTTTCAGTTGATCATGTAGTTCCTGTGTATTTTTTCTGTCACTCTTACCTTGCCTGATGTCCTGGCTGCTCATGTTGTAAATTTACAGAAGTGGCTGGCCAGGCTTCAGATCACAGCCTTGTGTGGAAGTGTGTAATAAAATGTCCATGCAATAGAATGTGTATCTATGCAAAATATCTTTATTTTTGGATGTGTCTACTAAGAAACAAGTTAAATGGATTCTCATCAGATAGCACTGTTTAAAATACTTGGCTAAAATCATACTTCAAGAGGGATGATTTTAGTGAAGTTAGCATTTGAAGTTAGTGCATGAA